TGAGTCTACTTGTGGAGGTATATGTGAGCCTTGTTGTGCTAATTGTACCTCTGTGGAGTCCTATTTGTTTTAAATTATTTAGCGCTTAGTCTTTTAATTTTTAAACAGCCTAGGATGAGTCTAGAACCACCATATAGTGGCCCAACACCTCCTGGAAAATAGGCATGGAACGGGCAATTTGGACTTAAAATGAGGGAGATATGATGTTTTGCAGTTTTAAAGGAAGTCTGAAAACTTCAGGGACATAAGTAGTATTTTCGAAATTATAATACCAGAAAAATCAGCAATAGAAAAAGCTTCATTTTAGCACCCAAAACTTATTCGGATCCTCCCAAGCACAAACCATATATTCATTTAAATCATAAAATACGCTACGAACCTGCTCGTGTACTCAAAACACCGAAAAGAGGTCGTCTTGACCCGATATTGACCATGGTAAAAATCCAAATTCTTAACTTAACTAGTCTCCCAAGCAACGATCCAAAACACATTCGAGCCCCTCGGGACTCCATTCAATCATATCAACAAGTACAAATACATTATCCAAACTTATCCAAAGGTTCAAAACACCCACGAGAATATCACAACAAACAATCAAGGCTCAAACCGAATAGAATTTCTCTTAAGTTGTTACATCTTCATTTTTTTCAAAAGAGTGCCTGAATCAGACATACACACTTTGGATTACTTCCAAACTTTGCAAACAAGTTCAATTAACCTATATAGACCTATCCAAAGTCTCGGAACACTAATTATAGTCAAATAACATCATAGTCAACTCTTGGTCAAACTCATGAACTCTTAAATTCTTCAAATTTTCAACTTTCGACAAATAGTGTCGAATTCTTCTAGAAATCTCCAAAACCAAATCCGAACATACGTACAAGTCCAAAATAATCATACGAACCTATTAGAAATATTAAAACCCGATTCTGGGTCTATTTACCCAAAAGTCAAACCTTGGTCAATTGTTAGAACTTAAAGCCTCCAAATCGAGAGTCATTCATCTAAATCAATCCCTAACCGCTCGAAAACTAACAACGACCATACACACAAGTCATAAATACTTATTATGAAGCTACTTAAAGTATCAAACCACCAAACGAAATGCTAAAGCTCAAAACGATTGGTCGGGGCGTTACATTCTGCCCCACTTAAACATACGTTCGTCCTTGAACGTGCTAAAATTCATTCTAAAGTCATAAAATTGTTGTATAAGCTCACCATACACAATACCCATGAGTAATACCATGCCACCACAATCCATCTAAGCCTATCAACAAAATTTAGCTGAAGATTCTTTCTCCAATCTTAGCCCATAAACCTTAGAACCCAATCTCCAATATCCGAAAATTCCTTATAAGAATTGATTCTCGCATCTATGCCCAGTATAAGTCTAAACAAGCTGCATCAAGTCTTAACCATATTCTAATGTATATTCACACGATATACCACATAACGCATGTACTCGTAGTAATATCTTAAGACTGTATAGCTGTTCGTTACCAAATCTGATACCAAAAACATACCTCATGCATATAAAACATAGTTCTAACCCTTAGAAACACAACTAATGATGACAGAAATAGGTATAAACTCATAACCACTCTCCAGGACAACAAGTTGTGAAGTTCCCTCGCCCAACAAGAACCATAACCAAATTCTAAGCTGACTACCGACATTATTCTTGCAAACATACCTTATCCCAATCTGATTATGTGCTTTCCAGGTCCAATAACCTTATCTCACCCAGTACACGCAGCTCGACCGACAAGCCCCCCC